GCAGTGAGAAGGAGGGTCAAAGTTTTTTCAGAGTATTTTGCTTGTTAATAACAAGTTTAAAGTCCTGTTTTAGAGTGGGAAAAAAATCTCTGGTCCCTTTCATTTCTTTCTGTATTTTTCTTAGTTGAAAATTGCACTCAAAGGAATTTTGAACTGAAACTTCTTCAAGTTTGTGCTTCTCTGGAAGGGCTGCTATATCTGCAGCTTTGTGGTCTTCTTCCAAGCTCTTTCAGAGGGTGTTAAAACAAGGCTCCTGTTTGAGAATTTTTAGTAGGTCCCAAAGCTTGGTGCCAAATAAACACATTTTCTAAAACAAGATACTAGGTCATCTTTCTTAGATTTAATCTAATAAACATGAAAAAACTTCATTTCAGTTGCATCAAACATTATTAATAAACTTCCATAAATTTAGGAAATCATTGTTAAAAAAATCCTCTCCTGAAGATATACTTATTGATTTTAGAGAGAGAGGAAGGGGTAGAGAGAGAGGAGAGAGAATAGAGAGAGAAACATTAATGTGAGTGAGAAGCATCAATCAGTTTCCCCCATGCATGCCCTGGCCATGCTCTGACCATGCTCCAGCTGAGTACTGAGCCCAAAATCTAGGTACGTGTCCTGACCAGGGATCAGTCCTGCCACATTTTGGTTTATGGGATGATGCTTCAACCAACTGAGCCACCTGGCCAGAGATAGGATATCACTGTAATAATTCTTTTTTAATCAATATTACACTTTTGTGACTTAGACTTGAATATATTTTTAGAAGATTTTTTTCTTGCCACAATTTCTTACCATGGAAACTGGGAGAAAGACTCCAAATATATTTTTCTTTGATAGTAATAAAATAATAAATTTTCACATAAAATATTAGTCAAATAAGTCAATAATTACCCCCAAATAAGAGAAATAATAATAAAATATTGATTTAAGGCTAAAAATGCTAAATAGCCTTATATTCTTCATCTATGTAGTCACATTTTGAATTACAATTTCAATATAAAAAAGAATAACAAGGGGGAGATTGAGAGAGAGAGAATCAAGCTACTTTGATCCACTTGGTGAGAGAGGATGCTCTTTCTTAGGGCTTGGATTGATGCCCAGCCACTACCCTGCATCAGTCAATCAATGTATCTCACTATACTTAGCCCAGCTTACATTCAGCTCTAGAAATTGTCAAGTTGGAATAAAGGTCTTTGAAAAAAGCTGTCTCTGATATCGTTGGCTATACTTTTAGACCTATGACAGAATTTTCAGCTACAAATATTATATGGTTGCATTTTAAAAGATGATCTCAAGAAACCCAGGTAGACATTGCATCTTTCTGGTGGCTCTGGCAGGTGTGTTGCCATGTGCACATGGAATATGAGCAGAATTATGTGTATGTTACTCATGGGTCTAGATCAGAGAAATTTGAGCCTGTTTTCCATTAGTCACTCTTTTCCATTTACTGTCTGGATATCAGATGTGGCTAACTCACTCAACTTTTGACCTTGAAGATGTGTACAATAGCTTAGTGGTATGGAACAACAGAATGAAGGAACCTGAATCCCTAAATGACTGTAGGGAACCTAGAGTGGTAGGACTGTAATATGCCTTCTAAGCTATAATGTCAGTCTCCTAAATGATCTTGCTCTCTAATGTCCTCAATTTATTCACTCTCTACTCTTGTCATCAGAGAAATGGATTTCAAAAATGGCTCTGATCATGCCCAATAACTTTCAAAGCATCTACCTGCCTGTGCAACATAGTTCATCATCCAGGTCCCAACTGATCTTTCTACATTATTCTCAGTGAGCTCGTAATACTGGCTGCACTGGACCTGACTGATTCCTCCCAGTTAGCCTCTACTTCTGTGTATTTGTTCATTTCTTTCCTTTGTTTTAAAGTACCCTTCTTCCAATCACTCTTTTCTTAAAAGTGAGTCATTCTATAAATCCCCCCAAAATGGCACCTCCTCTGTGAAGCCATCTCTAACCTCTCCTAATACAATTAACTGTTGTTTTTGTAGAGAATAAGCACTTTATATGTAACATTATTTTATCACACATCACTTTTTAAAAAATTCCTCCATGAAGATCACATTACAGAATTAGATAGTCAAGAGATTTAGTGAGTAAAATGCCTGTGACTGATAAAGAGGAGAGGGAGCAAGATACAACTCTACGTGGTCCACAAGTAGCACACTTTATCATGACACAGAAAACCTGTAAGTAGGTAGAAAAGGATATAGTCTACAAATGCTAGTGATAACAAAGCTAAAGCATCTGTATTAATGTTAGACAAAGTAGACTTACTGAGAAAAGATTTTCTCCAAAAAAAGGGATATTTCATACTGAAAATAAGTCATCAGTAATACATAATGATCATGAACGTGTGTTTATGTAGCTAATAGAGTTTCAATATTTATGACATATATATTGAAGGAATTAAAATAGGTACAATGAAATCCCTATATATTTGTGTACAAATCCACCACTCCAGTTGGAGATTTTAACACCTGTCTTTCAGTACTTGATAGAATAACTAGACAAAACATTCCTAATGGCATAAACAACCTTAACAACCCTATTAATGAAATCAGTCTCATTGATATTTATGGAACACAAATACCCAACAAATTCTGACACAGACACCAGCAAGCAGTGTCCACTGCATTGTGGATGAGATATGAAAAATTCACACAAACTACCAAGTCCTGTGGAGGAAAAGGGATGGCATGGCCACTCTCTCAAGAGGAGAGCTCCTTAACCCTCACCTTGACAACCTTTTATTGCTTTTCTGGACACATTACATGATGGTCCTTATTTACTATGCAGAGGTCCACTTTAGGCTCACCTTTTACAGAAGACAAAGGAGAGAATGCTGCTAATCACATCACAGAAGAAGGATATTTACAAATGCAAAGGGAAAAGTGGTTGAACTGGTTACACTCATCCTTGGAAGGTTTAGCATAGATTTTAGGAAGTTACTTTAAAGATATGCAGTAAATGTTTGCTGCCTCAATTCAGGGCGAGGGAGTTTTGGCAAAAAGCAAGTCTCAAAAGCAGCTTAGGTACAATGCAGGCCTGATTCCCCATGGGAGAACCTACCCATGGGCGTGCAGACTGTCTGGGCCCACGCCATGCAGAACGGTTTCCTGTAACATTCTGTTTCAAGGCACAGAGTACATTCCTCAAGATATACCACATCCAGAGCCATAAAACAAGTCTCAATACATTTTGAAAGACTGACAAATTCCAGAGTAGGACTCATTAACAGCAAGAGATCTGTACAGCCTCCAATATACCAAATTATATAGTGAGCATCTATAAAAAACATGAGTCAAAGAAGTTATTACATGGGAAATTTAAAATATTTTGAACTAAGTGATAATAAAAATAAAATATAAAAATCTAAGATTGATAATATGAAGTTCTACTTCTTGCTTGATTTTTATAATATTTGCCCTTTTCAAAGTATAGATTGCCCAAAGGTGAAAACTTCACTTTGTTCATCTTAAAATATGCAAAGGTAACGGGCCTACAATTGTATTACTTGTACCAGGGAAGTTATCAGCATGCACTGCAGGAAATAATAGCACTGACCAATTCTAACATTAACAAGTAAAGACAATTTATAAGATTTTCCAACAAGTCACACAATAATAGTAGATTTTAATTCTGCAAATAGGAAGTCTAGGGTATAAACTTATATTAAATGACAAACATTTTAGTAAAAATATGATTGGTAGTAATATTACATATAAGTATTAAAGGAAACAAAGTGATTTCAATGTTTCATTTTTCAATGTATTTTCTGATCTTGTATTCAATATAATATCTTTCTGGGAACAAGTTTTTCATTTTAGTAATGTATTTTTTATAATATTTCAGAAATTAAAATCTAAAATCTAGCTATTGGTAGTTTTTACCATGTTGTCAAAGGGCCAATTTCAAAAAAACTGATTTGTGAAAGTGAAATGAACACTTTTAATGTCTTTGAAACCTCAGAATATCTCAGGAAGAGAGAAATAGGCAATGAAACTAAAACAAAATTATTCCAATAACACAAATACCTACTTCTTTCTAACTGGAAAGCAACAGATGTAGCAAAAGACTAATTTGATTATTTGAGTATAATTTTTATTCTGTAGCTTAATACAGTGGAATCCCTTAAAATTACACATAATTTATTTTTTAATTAATTGTCATACTAAAATACAAATGAGAGGGGAAGAACCTTAACAGAAGACAAAAGCAGAAAACAGAGACAATATTTGTGGTGCAAAGAACATTTTGACTGTTGCCAGATGGGAGGGGTGTTTGCAGGGATGGTGAAAAAGGTGTAGGGGGTAAGAGGTACAAATCTGTTTTTACAGAATAGTTATGAAAATGTAAAGAATAGTATAAGGAATGTAGTTAATAATATTCTAATAAGTATGCATGGCGTCAGATGGGTATGAGATTTATCATGGTGATCACTTCAGAAGTTATATAATGTCAAATCACTGGGGTATACACCTGAAACATAATATTGTATGTCGACTGTAATTGAAAAAGAAAAAAAAGATTTAACAAAAATTTGTTGATTGTTATGATTTCTTTGTTCATTTTGAATATTCACTTTGGAATTTGTATTTTTATATTATTTTACATATTTGAAACAAACACTCAAAATATATAAACTACAGACCCTTGGTATCCCCCATAGAACCACTACAAAAACATAAGTGGAAGAATATGCTGTAAAAATAATAGTGGTTATTACTGGATTGTAAAATTTGGAGTTGTATACACCCACTATTTAATGAAAACGACAAGTTAAAAACAAGAGTACTTAAAATCAAGAAAGAAATGGAATAGTCTAAGTGAAAAATTAAACAAACACCCAAATTGCCCCCAAAAGTACCCCTGAGAGACAGGCTGTTGACACCAGCCAGCCTGCTGTTAGGGCATAGCATTCAGCCTGGGCTCTGTGCTCATCCAGGGAACCCAAGCCAAGGGAGGAGCAAGGACGAGCACCGGATTCAGAGGCAGGCTGTGGAGGAAAGAGGTGCTTGTTTCTCCCCCACACTGGAAACTCCAGCCTCCGATAACAAAAAGGAAAACCCCTAACGTTTAACACCACTGGATGCGCGTGTCCTTTCGATTTCGGTTTTCCTCAGCCTCACTCATAACCTCTTGGCTCTAACATCGGCTTGATTTTCAGCTGCTAAAAAGAACAGCCGGTACCAGAGGACCCAGGAGCCGGCGAAGCACGCGAGGGCAGAGCGAGGACAGCTGAGAGAACTTGTCTTCTTCCTGAAGCTCCCACGCCACGTAAGTTCGATCCTAAACTTGGTTTTCCACGTTCATGTTTCTTAAAGGACAACGCGTGACCAAGAGCACTTCCCACACTGTAGACGAAGGGTCTGCGCTGGTGGCAGGAAGGCAGCCAGAAACCGATTAGAGTTTGGAGGGTTGGGGAACGCGGGAGGAAGCCCTTTGTTTGCTCTGGGAAGCTCAGCGACTTTGTGTCCACAGGATGTGCTGCTCCAGGCTGCACACAGAGCCCTGCCGCATCTGCAGAAGGGGTTGAAGTCCTTTCTTGGACTAAGGGACTAGTGCCACCCTCTTGCAGAGGTGCAGGGTAGGGCCACTTCCTCCATCTCCCTTCTCTTGATGACTGGCACCTGCTGGACATTGGAGAAACCAAGAAAAAAAGGGTCTTCAACATACAATCTAAACATCAAAACACTCTTTATTGTATTAACCGTACTTAGTATTCCAAAGATTCTATGAAGTGGTATTTAGATGAAATTAATTCATTCTGAAGTATTTTAATCAACTGTTAGAAACAGCTATAAGGTCTAAGCCTTTTTTAATCCTGCAGTTTCCAAATGTGTGGTCCCTACCAAACAAATTACCTCAATTACTTCTGTTTTTGGGTTCAGTTGTTTCTGTTTCCTTTGCAAAAATAACAATATTTCTCAGTTTGTTTTAACTTCTGCACACTAGCAACAGAAGAGTGGGAGGAGGAAAGGGAGCAAGCAGGGGTGGGAAACAACTGGGAGCTTGTGCTTGCTTGGACAAGCTGACCTGAGAAGGCTGGGGCAGAAATGCTCACTCACCAACTTTCTTTTGCATGCAGTTTGGTCTTGAGCTTAAATCCCTCAACTTCCAACTCAAAATGGTCTCTGAGGAATGCAGTGGTAAGGGCACCTGTAGCCTCATTGTCTGGGCTGCGGGCTTCAGCTGTGGCTTTAGTTCTGGGAAAGCCCAGCTTCTCCATTTGGAGCAGAGGTAGCTGTGAGGTGACAGCCTCATAGCATGTCACATAGCTAGGACAGCTGCAAAAGGAGCAGAAAAGATGGGTACATGGAGAAAGGAAAGATTAGGGTTCTTTCCTGGCTCTTTAATGGGGTGGGGTAGGGGCAGTGGAGGTAGTTTCTTCATCCGTGAGCATAATATTCCTCATTGTAGTGTACATTAGGATGAACTTATGGTTCTCAATCGTGACTGTATATTAGATTTATCGCCTACACAATTTTAAAAATTTTAATTTTTAATTTCATTTATTTTTTTAATTTTATTTATTTATTTTTAGAGAGGGAAGGGAGGGAGAAAGAGAGAGAGAGAAACATCAATGTGTGGTTGCTGGGGGTCATGGCCTGCAACCCAGGCATGTACCCTCACTGGGAATCGAACCGCGACACTTTGGTTCACAGCCCGTGCTCAATCCACTGAGCTACGCCAGCCAGGGACTAATTTCATTTATTTTTTAATCAAAAGCAGTCATGGCTCAGGAAGCTCTGGATTGCCTTTATTTATTGGAGAAGAAAGAAAGAAAGAAAGAAAGAAAGAAAGAAAGAAAGAAAGAAAGAAAGAAAGAAAGAAAGAAAGAAGGAAGGAAGGAAGGAAGGAAGGAAGGAAGGAAGGAAGGAAGGAAGGAAGGAAGGAAGGAAGGAAGGAAGGAAAGAAGGAAAGAAGGAAAGAAAGAAAGGTGGACCAGACATAGTTGGTCTGCATAAAGATTGTGGCCTCATTTCCACTCCCAGTCTCATCCTTAAAAGTTGGGAAATAAGTATGCTGTCCCTGGACTAGACTGTTAATCACTATTCACGCCCAAACTTGATTAGGATGCCTCTCAGTTGAGCTTCATTCTTGATATGTTCTGAAAATTGGGAAGGACCAGCACAGTGCTTCCTGGAAAATAAGTAGTACTTTCTCCTTCCTAACAAAGTCCTATGGTAGACATGTCCAGGAATTATGCAGACCCACTTAATATTTTCACATAGATATTTTTAATGGTATACAGAGGGTGCAGAATTAGGTCATCCTAGTGCCAGGTCTTCCCTCAGCAGCAGCCTCATTGCCCTCTTTGCAGCTGGTTAAGTCTTAAGTTTGGTGAGAGAATGTTCTCATAAGGTGACGGCTTTGCTTCTCAGTGAGGATGACCCTCACATTGGGTAGGCCCACTCTAGTGCATTATAAGAATTGGCCACCCAGTGCCAACAACAACATTCAATCTGAGGTCCTTATGGCATTGGGAGCAGTTTGGCCCTTGCAGAGAGTCACTGTAAGGGTAGAACCAAAAATCGATGAATTTTTCATTGTGGGGCTTAGCTGATGCTTACTGTGACAGGAACAAAGCAGAAAACTCACACAGCCTAAGGTGATGGATGCTTTGTATAATGCCTCATAGAGAGTAACAGTATAATCTCTTTTCAACTGGATGTTCTTCCAGGTTGGCAGGTTGCCATGGCATTTGGACCCAACATGAGAGCCCCCATTTGTCTGGTAGAAAACATCAATGAGCAGCTATCAGTGAATCAGGAAGCTCTAAAGATTCTTGACCAGATTTCTCAGCCAGTGGTGGTCGTGGCCATTGTGGGACTGTATCGCACAGGCAAATCCTACTTGATGAACTGTCTTGCAGGACAGAACCATGGTGAGTGCTGTCCTCTGGCAGGGGACATGCTTTTTTAAATTTTTTATTTTATTGTTGTTTAATTACAGTTGTCTACATTTTCCCCCTACCACTCCCCACCACACCCCAGACAAATGCCCACCCTCCCTTGCTTCTACCCTTTCCCTTGGTATTGTCCATGTTTCCTTTACAGTAGTTCCTGAAAACCCTTCATACCATTATCCCCTCCCACCTCCCCTCTGGTTACTGTCAGATTGTTCTTACTTTTAGTGTCTCTGGTTATACTTTGCTTGCTTTTTTCTTTTGTTGATTATGTTCCAGTTGAAGGTGAGGTCATATGGTATTTGTCTTTCACCACCTGGCTTATTTCACTTAGCATAATGCTCTCCAGTTCCATCCATGCTGTTGCAAAGGGTGGGAGCTCCTTCTCTCGCTCTGCTGCATAGTATTCCATCCTGTAAATGTACCAGATTTTTTTGATCCATTCATTTACTGATGTGCACTTAGGTTACTCCCAGCACTTGGTCATTATAAATTGTGGTGCTATGAACATGGGGTGCATAGGACATTTTTTTTACTCTATATCACAGCTTATTAGTTTTCTTCCCTGGTTACATGGGTAACTAAACTCCTCTCAGTAAAATAATCTTCTAATTCTAATTCTCACCACTAAATTATTACCTTATTGTGTTCTGTTACCATATTCTTTATTTTATTCTGTTAAGGAAAATCTACCCATATGTAGATTCTAGCCTTTTCACTTGTTTGAGCACTGTACTTTTTTTTTAATTTTTAAAATTGAATTTATTGGGGGTGGCATTGGTTAATAAAATTACATAGGTTTCAAGTGTACAATTCTATAAAACATCATCTGTGTAATGTACTCAAACACTGTACCCTTTTAATTGTGTCTCCTTTCTCTCTCTCATAAAGTATTTTGCTTTTTTTATGAAATATTTTCATCAACATATAAAGATGTTTGAATACCTGTTATCTCAAAAATTCTTCAAGAATTTATATACTATTGAGGCTACCAACCCCCCACACCTTTTTTTTATCACTTTGTCTGGCAAAAAATATTTTAATTTTTTTCCCACTTATTCTATTCCCAGGTTTCTCTTTAATTCGCTTGTATTTGGTTTTGAATTTTACCAGTCTTTCACAATGTTGTCATAGTTAAACAGTTATCTTCATTATTTGTGGTTCAGTGATGCCTCTTTGCCTCCATATTGAGTCCTTACTTCACATTATTCTTACACTTTATATTCCCTTCTACTGGGAATAAATGACACACACAGCAGGACATTTTTATGAAGTAGAAAACGGACCATTTTGTATTCTGGGGTACTTACAACAAGTCTGACTTTGTAGCCTTTGGCTGCTTAGATTTTCTACTTTCGTTTTATGTTGCTTTTCATGCATCCATTGCAGGTTTCCCTCTAGGCTCCACGGTGCAGTCGGAAACCAAGGGCATCTGGATGTGGTGTGTGCCCCACCCCTCCAAGCCTAACCATACTCTGGTCCTTCTGGACACTGAGGGCCTGGGTGATGTAGAAAAGGTAAGGCAGAGAGTCACAGATAAAGTATTTTATATCTGGATTTTCTTCTTAATATTTTACGATTCTTTGTAATTTCACAGCTGTGATCTATTTTGAAATCTAGAAATCTAACTACATATATAAGGCAAATTTTGGTTTATTGTATTCTCTCTTCCAGGTAAGATGTCATGGTAGAATGAGTAAGCCTTTTTTATTTCTGGTTCTATTCAATTTAATAAACAATTCTGAGCACATAATTCCCCAGCATCTGGATTAGTACTGTAGATATTAGTGTCCAAAGTAAAGGCCATGCCCACTAAGAGTCTACAGCCCTATGGTGAAGTTCATTAAGTACTCACAGATCAGTCTGTAAGGTTTTAAGACACCTCTGAATGCACTGATTCTAAAAAAACCTGTTTGTTCCACAACATCATTAAAAATTGTTTTTTAATAATGTTTTAATTTTCTATGAGTGGGTGAAATGAATAATTTCTTCTTTTCTACCTTAGTTTGAACCTTATTTGGGAATAGTACTTAAATTTGTATGACTCTCTGTTTCTACCCAAGAAGAGTTAAAAATTCTGTGTTTATTTTTAAATCTACATATCAAAGAATGATATAATCTTGCTATCTAAATAATTTATTGTTTGTTGTAAGTACCATTTCTTCTTAACTTAAATGATTACTTTAAAAAACTTAGGTCAGGGAAATAAATTAATGAAGTGGCTATCCCCCCCGCCCAAACTCTCATATTGAGTCTCCTAGGTATATGTCCCAGTTTATATAGTTTCTCTAGGGAATGGCTTTAGATTGTTTATAAGACAAATAATGTCTTGATTAGATCATTATTGAGACACAGCTGGCTATAATCCATACAAATAAATTATCATGGCCATTAAGGCCATTCCTCTGGCTGCACCAGGTTCACTATCTGCCTTAATTTCTTGACCTACCCTTTGCTTCAACCAAATCAAATAACTATAATTTTATTCCAAAGACCTGTGTATTTGACAATCTCTAACTTTGCTTCTGTGAGTCCTTTTACTTCCAGGATTATCTTCATTTCTTCAAGTCTACATGCTACTAATTCTTTCACACTTAACTAAGACTTTGAGTAAAACTTTATAATATGTAATTTTTATCCCAGTGTTTATAGCTCTGTTTTTTCCTTGATAGATATCTAAACTTTTAATTAATATTATAGCTATAGGACCCACTGCCTATATGCATTACTAAGATATAAACCTCCTATAAATATTTTCATCATTGTTGTATTTATCATAATGTTTGTCGCTGCCTTAAATAAGTCATCTTCAAAGGTAACAACATTTTAAACATTGCCTTTAGAAACTTAAGCACAGTGGGAAACACTCAATAGCTCCTACAAACATTTGTTGAATTTAATTGCATATAAGTTGAATCCTCGGTTGTGCCAGCTATGGTGAATTTTATATGGCCTATGATGAACAAACAGGTGAGGAGTGAATGCATGCTAACATCTAACACTGAATACCTAATTGCACACCAGGCACCATACTAGTTTTTCTATATGTTATTTTTGTCATCCAGTTGAATAAAATGAAAGCCCTGTGAAGATAAAATTCTTTTATATGTGAAAAATCACAGTGACAAGAAATTTAATTCCATTTGTCAAAACTAATACCTATGTTTATGCCTGTCTTTAAACTTACTTCTTTGCATGGTGAGTACATTAGCTGAAATAAAAATGAAAGACTGATTGACTTAGTGTCTGAATGAATTTCTACATAGTAAACTCTTTTTTTACCTGGTAAACTCTGAAATGTCTTGTCCTAATATGCTTCCTAGGGTGACTCTAAGAATGACTCGTGGATCTTTGCCCTGGCTGTGCTTTTGAGCAGTATGTTGATCTATAACAGCATGGGCACCATCACCAACCAGGCCCTGGAGCAGCTGCAGTATCCTTCCAGGGACCACACCACCATGAGTCCCAGGGTCTGTGGGAATGGAGATCCAGTCACTTTCTCCTTTCCTCTCACTTAGTTGCCTTTGGTGGAGTACAAGAAACCTCGGGAGAAAGATTAATGTTTATAATAAGTTTTATTAAAGAACTGTGGGAATTGTGGGTGGGAAATTTCTTTTCCTTAACCAGGTCCTAGTTATGTGACAGAGCTTACAGAACTCATCAGGGCAAAGTCCTCCCCTACACCGGATGGAGGAGATGACTCCATGGAGTTTGTGAGTTTCTTTCCAGACTTTGTCTGGACTGTACGGGATTTCACCCTGGAGCTGAAGTTAAACAGTCATCCCATAACAGAAGATGAGTACCTGGAGAATGCCTTGAAGCTGATTTCAGGTGAGAGAGCATGACTGGGCAGTGGATGGTACAATACAAGGTGGGAGGTGCTAAACACTGTCTGTCATTTCTGGAGTTGCATTTGTGTTTTAGACTAGATGAAATCTGTAGAAATGGTGGCTGAGAGGTGAGCTGAAAAGCTCTATGGACTGCAGTTTCAGTTCACATAGAGTAGAGCCTATATAATAAAAAATAAAGAAGGACATTACATAATGATAAGCAAATCAACCCAACAAGAGGATATAAGCCTTGTAAACATTTATATACCAACATAGTAGCACCTGAATATATAAAGCAAATTTTAATGGACATAAGTGAAGAGATCAACAGTAATACAGTCAGTCATAGTAGGGGATTTTAAAACCTAATTGACATCAATTGATAGATTTTCTAAGGTGATTGCATTTTTGGAAGCAAAACAAGTTTGAGTAACTTTAAGAACATTGAAATTATATTAGTTGTTTTCTCCCACCACAATAATATGAAATTAGAAATCAAGTACAAGAAAAATACTGGAAAACACAAACACACATTGAAGCTAAAGAACATGTTACTGAACAATAAATGGGTCAACAATACAATCATAGAAGAAATCAAAAGTTACCTTGAGACAAATAAAAGTGAACATACAATAACCAAAAAAAATTTTTAATTACTTTGTTATTGTTCAATTATAGTTATCTGCATTTTCTTCCTACCACTCCCCACCCCAGCCAAGCCCACTTCCCTCTCTTGGTTCCACTCTCCCCCTTCAATAACCAAAAATTTATAAGACACTGAAAAGCAGTCCTAAAAAGGAAATTCATGACAATACAAGCCTACCTTAAGAAGCAAGAGAAATCTCAAGTACACAATCTAACCTTATCCCAAGAACAACAAACATATTCCAAAGTGATGAGCAGGAAGGAAATAATAAAGATTAGAGCAGAACAACAAACAAAGCCTAGAGTAAGTAAAAAGAAGGAAATAATAAAGATTAGATTGGAAATAAATGTCATAGAGACAAAAAAATATCAGTAATAACAAGAGCTGGTTCTTTGAAATGATAAACAAGATCGATGAACCTTTTTAACTAGACTCATCAAGAAAAAAGGAGAGAAGACCTAAAAATTAAAATTAGAAATGAAAGACGTGACAAATGACACCACAGAAATATAAATGATTATAAGAAAATACTATGAATAATTACATGCCAATGAATTGGACAACCTGGGTGAAATGGAAAACTTCCTAGGAACATACAATCTTCCAAAACCAAATCAGGAAAATTGAAAAACTTAAATAGACCAATTACAACTACTGAAATCAAAGCAGTAATAAAAATATTCCCAGCAAACAAAAGACCCAGACCAGATGGCTGTCTAGGCGAATGCTACCAAACATTAAAAAAAAACCTAACAGCTATCCTTTTCAAATTATTCTAAAATATTAAAGAGAAAAAATGATTTTCAAGTGCTTTTCATGAGTCCAGTATTATTTTAATTCCAAGTCCAAATAAATACACAACAAAGAAAGAAAATTGTGGGCCAATATTTCTAATGAACATAGAAATCCTCAACAAAATATTAGCAAATTGGACCCAGCAATACATGAACAATATCATATAACATAATCAAGTGGGATTTATCCTGAGAATGAAAGGTTGTTACAATATTTGCAAAAAATGTGATATACCACATAAAAATGAAGGGTAAAAATCACATGATTATATCAATAGATGCAGGAAATGCAGTTGATAAAATCTAGCACTCATTTATGATAAAATCTCTCAGCAAAGTGGTAATAGTGGGATCATACCTCACATAGACACATACAACAGTGTGGTGATAGCCAGAGGGAAAGACAGGTGGGGAGTAGGTGGGACAATAGGGATAGAAAGATACTTTGCTTGGGGCCATGTATGCATGGGCAGTAGGCAGATGATTTATTGAGTTTTACACTTGAGACCTATATGGTTTTACAAACCAATTTCATCTCAATAAATTCATTAAAAAATAAAGATTATAGTGCATAGAAATGACATAGAAGCACTGAAGAAAGAGATTCAAGAATATACAAATAAATGGAATCATATACCTTGCTCATAAATAGGAAGAATTAACATAATTAAAACGTCCATACTACCCAATGCAATCAAAAGATTGAATCTATCTAATTCAATCTTTTTCAAAATACAAATGGCATACTTCACAGTATTAGAACAAATATTCCAAAAATTTATACAGATCCTCAAAATACCTAGAATAGCCTCACAGTATGGAGAAAGAACAATGTTGAGAAAGAACACTATCTGATATCAAACTATACTGCAAGGTCATACCAATCTAAGCAACATGGTGCTGGCATAAAAAAACAGACACATAGATCAATGGAACAGAATAGAGAGCCCAGAAATAAACCCAAATTTATATGGTCAATTAATATTTGACAAAGGAGAGCAATAAATGGGTCAACAATACAATCATGGAAGAAATCAAAAAGCTTATTCAGCAAAAAAAATCTTTCAAACAATTAGATATTTTTCTTTTAAGTAGGGATACATCTTTCTATTAACTCTATAGCAAAGTCATCTACAAACATGACTTTATGTTTTAAATGAACCTGAAGAAGTATGTATCTTTTTAATCAGTGCTTTTGGAATATTTCAAATAATTATTCGAATAATGAATTGGGACACTGAGGGAAGCCATTCTGAGTCAAAGGGAGAAAAATCAAAACAAAAGGCTGCATTTAGGAAAGCAAGGTTTCAGCACAGTTACAGGTTTCTTGCTCTGGGACTGTTCCTACTGTAATCTCTGGTCTTTTTACCCACAGGAGGAAATCCCAAAGTCCAAATAGCCAATCTTCCCAGAGAGTGCATCCGGCATTTCTTCCTAAAACGGAAGTGTTTTGTCTTTGATCAGCCAACAAAGGACAAAGACCTTCTAGCCAATATTGAGAATGTTCCAGAAAGTGAACTGGATCCTAAATTCCAGGAACAAACAAAGAATTTCTGCTCTTACATCTATACCCAGTCAAGAACCAAAACCCTCAGAGAGGGAATCGTGGTCACTGGGAAACGTGAGTCTTCTGTTCACATTCTGTGGGGGCTAACATATATATGTTTAATAAATCACGATGTGTTTCCTAGTATTTTTGTTTGGTTCTACATAGAATTGCAGCCATATAGACATTGGTATTTTATGAAGATATATATATATATTTTATAATTATCACACTTTTTAGTGCTAACAAATTTCTCTCCAAAATTACAAGCATTATCAGTAATATCTGTGGCTTCCATATTTCTGAAAAAATCCTCTATTGATAAGAAATCACTAACTGTGTATAAAAAATAGATTGTACTATTTTCTCAAGGGAAGTCCTTTATAAAAAATGTGATTTCCTAGGAGAATATAAAATATGTTTGGGGACTGTAGAGCCAACCAAGAATAAATATACATCCCTGAAAATCCATTGGAAGTTTTTAATTAGGAATAAATATAATTTCATTTACTTGCCCTTACCTATCTACCTATATAAACAATTTTGCTTTTAATTTTTAAATAGGAAATTATGTTTTCCAGATAAATTTTTGTATGTTAAATGAAGGTAAATATTTAATTTTTTTAGTCCTGTGTCTGGAAGAACCATACAAATGAATAGTCAGTAGGAAAATGAAAGGGGTGATAATAGAAGGAGTAGGATGTGCATATGTGTGTGATTCAGAAATATAGTCTCATATACTTCAATTTGTTGATTGATAACTTAATATTTTTCCCTTAAATTTCCTGGCTTATTAGGGCTGCAGACTCTGGTGGTAACTTATGTGGACACCATCAACAGTGGAGTGGTGCCTTGTTTGGAGAATGCAGTGACAATTCTGGCCCAGATTGAGAACTCAGTGGCCGTGCAGAAGGCAGCCGACCACTACAGCGAGCAGATGGCGCAGCGAGTGAGGTTCCCCACAGACACGCTCCAGGAGCTGCTGGACCTGCACGCAGCCTGTGAGAGGGAAGCCATTGCAATCTTCATGGAGAAGTCCTTCAAGGATAAAAACCAGGAGTTCCAGAAGAAGCTTGTGGTACTTTGTCTTCATACTTCTTTACCCTTTGTGACCCTTCCCTTTGAAGAATGATGCCTATAAGTGCTTTTAATAACCCCATTCCTCCTCTTTCACTCATGGATCAAGGAGTGTGGATTTATCATGAAGAATAGTGTTTTAGATGACTCCTGAGAATTACTCCTGTAATTCCCCCAAAGCTCAGGTACTTTATCATGAAACTCTCTGATCCCTGGTGCCTAATCAGCATAGATATCACCTGAAGTGAATACTTCTATGGATTTCAAGCCTGCCCAGAATACCCTAGGAATGACCCAAAAGCCATTCCTAAACTGGTCACTTTGTAACACATCTCCATTCCCAGGTAACAAAATTTCTTTATTAGACCCTCATTCAAGGCCATTTCCACCTACTATTGCTCCTTTTGTATCACTGTGTCATTGAATATAGAATCACTGAATGCTACTGCTGCAAGGAACCATGGGGATTAAATAATGCAACTACAACTTTTCAGATAAAGAACCTGAGACCCAGAGAGGTTGGGATTCTTCCCCAAGTCTTATAGAGAGTTTTCATGTTTATGAATAAATCAAGATTTATGGTTTCACATTTATTCCATGTCTTTCAGGAACAGAAAGCTTTTATCACAAAGACCACATCCAGATGTCTTTCTGCCAGATTCTGTGGAATTTTATTTCCTTTGTTCTTTTCTTCTGGTGACATCCTTCTATACTTCCCTTATAGAAAATCATAAAGGATAAGAAGGATGATTTCATGCTACAGAATGAAGAGGAATCTGTTAAATACTGCCAGGCTAAACTTGATCAGCTTTCAGTGGCCCTCATGGAAAGTATTTCAGCAGGAACTTTCTCTGTTCCTGGGGGTCACAAGCTCTACTTGGAAACAAAGGAAAGGATTAAAGGGGACTATTGCAAAGTGCCCAGGAAAGGAGTGAAGGTGAGGAATATGGGAGCATGGGGATCCTACAGATTAAAGTCAGGAGGGTCTCCTGAAAGTCTGAGAGCACAGCACCTGTTGTGGGTAATATGAGAGAATGGGGATATTATGACTGTTTTAGTCCTTAAGTCCTATTAGTTGCCTTTCTTCCTAAATAGAATAGAAATATTAAATCTTGAATGAGTGTGGATTTCCAAATTCTGCAACAGGCAGCACAGAAATTATTCATCTCTTCATTCAGCAACTTGACATTTAATGTGCCAAATGTTGATGATTTACAACTTCAAGTCAGACTCTTTGGCTTTAAAGCTGATCAAAAGTAAGAAAGGAACCACATAGATAATTGCACATCACTATAATACTCATGAACCCGAGAAGGTTGGCTACATAGGTAATGGCAACATGTAATAATATTAAAAAGCAATAATGATATGTATAGTGGAACTAATGTATATTGAACTGATATTAGTACAATCGTAGTGTTAAGTTCTTTCCCTAGACTTTCAATGTAATTCTTCAGATAGAATGAAGAAGCATTTGTACTTTTTGTGAATATTTTACACATCTGAACTGAGAGGCAGAGATAAGTTAAAATGACTTGTCTCAAGTTACAGCTAGCAAATGGCAGAGGGAGAGGAGCAGTTAGCTAGGATATTTCATCCTGGGGAAGCAAATATAGATAAAAAAGCAGCAGAGACAGTGGGTCTGTAGAACTGAGCATGGTTCTCACTGGCTGGAACCTGGAGTGTGGGAAGGAAGGAGCCCTGGGAGAGAGACAGGAGGGAGAGAGGAGGGAGAGAGGAGGCGTCAGGTATGGAGAACCTCCCGTCACTCTAAGGAGTCTGGACACTGTGTGTAGGGCCACGATACAATTTTAATCCTGAAGGAAAATGTCCATGGACTTACTTGTTCTTGTTGCATTATTCTTCCCAGTGGAAATCAACATCCTTTGCTCCTGTTTGTTTCCTTAGGCGAACGAGGTCCTCCAGAGCTTCCTGCAGTCACAGATGGCAATAGAGAAATCCATTCTGCAGGCAGACAAAGCACTCACAGATGGGGAGAAGGCCATGGCAGGTATGGGGCAGGGCAGGTTCCTGCAGTGTCCTCAACAGGTATGAAAAAAACACTTTCCCAAAACAAAGAGCTCTTTTTCTTCTGTGGAAAAGATTCTCCAAAATCTGAGAGTGACACAGGGACATCAACCAGTCAGGCCTTTCCCATGATACTCTGAACTATGCTGTTGATGGTGTGGTCAAGGGGGTTGGTTTAGAGATTTCCTACCTCTCCTCCAGGTTGGTTTGGTCTGTGATCTCACAAGGGTAGAGATTAGACTTCACTTAATTTTCTTGCCTCTCTCAAACCTCCCTGGGGCAGAGGAGCAGGCCAGGAAGGAGGCTGCTGAGAAGGAGCAGGAGCTGATGAAACAGAAACTGCAGGAGCAGGAGCAACACAGGGAGGCTGAGAGGAGGAGTCTTGAGGAAAACATAGCCCAGCTGAAGGAGAAGATGGAACAAGACAGAGAGAACATAATTAGAGAGCAGACTATGATGCTGGAGCATAAACTGAAGGTAAGTCCTGCTGTGGCCGCAGTAGTGCTCGAAGGTCATTGTCCTGGACCCTCAGGTGGGTTGGAGAAGGTGGAAAGATCATCAAAGGAAGCACATTTACTACTTCTGATTTACTAAAGTCCTGAATTCTTTAAAGTTTTCTTCTTAATTCTTGTTAAGAGCATTTTGACTTTATATTACTTTGATTCTTGAGACTTTAGAATTGGCATGGTTCCTCCCTTTTCCTTGGAGAATACAAATAGGATTTGAGCTGTTATTTTTGGAGATTTTGAAATGATCTTATGAGGCCTGTTTAAATAGGCATTCCAAACAGTGTGTTTATTGTGACCAGCAACTGCTTTGCTTTATCAAGATCATTGCCAATTATCAGGAACCCTACTACAACCCAAAGGCCCTGAGGTATATCTATGGTGACAATAAACTATCAGAAATGTTCAGACTTCAAAACACAGGGAAAGGACTGCTTCCAAACTTGCTTCATTATTTTCTCCTGTGGTCCTCCCAGCTTATCATATAGTTTAGGGGGAATTCTCTCATTGTCTCTCCAGACATGATTATAGCAAATTTCTAGAACAATGTGTAAGTTCCCATTATCTCTCCAATTTCAGTGACCATAACATCTCAAGTGAGACTAAAAATTAGTCCAAGCAGATAAAGGCTACCTCTCAACTGTCAAATTTGACCAAAACATACTACATATGTCCTCATGCCAGGGTTAACATTCTGGTAAATCCCTAATGGTTGTAGGAATATTGATGAAGCTGTAAATTATGCTTCCTTTCAATGTTCAGGTTTAAGGCAAGAGATATTTCTTGTTAGAAAATTCTCTTTGATTTAGTAAGAGAGAACAATTTTAGGACCAAAAGAGATGTAGTTTGACCAAATACTTTAATACAAAATGTATTTTGGGGGGAAAAATGGGGACTTAAAAAGTTTTCTCTTCCCTTTTTTTTTTAGGTACAAGAAGATCTGCTTACTGGACAATTTAGGAAGAAATCTGAAGCTATGAATGCAGAGATAAATCAGTTGAGAAATATGATTGAAACTGGAAATGACAGTCATTTAATTTCAGAAACCTTGAGTATGATTATCATGGAACTCATTCCAATATTGTTTGCTAAACCTATTGGTAATATTGTGACAAGAATGAGCTCACTATTTAAAAAGATCTAGTTCTTCATTTAATGAAATTATAAAATGTAGGTATATGCTCTGGCTTATTTTTTTGTATATACACCTCTGAACTGAAAGACAGAGACAGATTAAAATGACTTGGCTAAAGTTATAGCCAGCAAGTGACAGCGGGGAGGAGCAGCATTAACTAGAGACAACATTTTACCCTGGGAGGCAAATATAAAAAGCACCGGAGACAGTAGGTTTGTAGAACTAAAGATGGTTCTCACTGGCTGGAACCTACAGAGCCGGCAGGAAGGAGCACTGATTGTTTTTTCATTCATACAAATTTTAAACATAAAAAGTGCCTGTTAGAGAATATTAATGTCTAGCCCACTTTAGGTGGAATAAGTGCATGTGCATTTTGATATAGCATGTTTACTTTTGAGAAATATGCATGTGCAAAATTATATGGGAGTATATATAAAATCTATTGAGGCACTGCTTTTAATGACCAGATTTTTAAAACTACTTAAATATCCATCTATAAAAATTAGTAGTATAAATTTATCATGCCTGGCTGGTATAGCTCAGTGGATTGAGTGTGGGCTGTGAACAAATGGTCACTGGTTCGATTCCCAGTCAGCACACGTGCCTGTGTTGTGGACCTGGTCCCCAGTAGGGGGTGGTGCGTGAGAGGCAACCACACACTGATGTTCCTCTTCTTCTCCTTCCCTTCCCCTCTGTCTAAAATTAAAATAAAAAAATCTTTAATAAATTTATCATGTACATATACTGGAATATTATGTAGCCAGTAAATAAGTTGAAGGTGTTACTCTATTTGTACCAATATAGAACAATCTTCAAAATATATCACACAGAGAAAAAAATGAAGGACAAAACAGCCTGTGTAATGTGTTTACTATAAATAAGTGTAACTATTGTGTGCAAACATTCATAAATACACATGAATATTTCTGCAATGATTCATTAGAACTGAGTAACATTGGTTTCTCTGGAGAGGATTGATGTGATCGGGGTGGAAAACATACATGCTTTTCATGGTAAGCTGTAGATTTTAAATTTTATAAAGAAAGCTTTTATTAACATTTTAAATAAAGTTCAAAATAAATAAAGAAAAATTAAAATGCAATACTAATATAGATACTAAGAAGAGAATGTGAAGTTGGCTATCAGATGATGAAAGTGTTCATTGCTTCTAGAAATGACATTAGTCTGCTCAAAGATCAGAATACTACAAAACATAAAATTTGAATCCTCATCTTGTTTTCATTTTAGCCTTGGGTCTTGATCCTTTATATTTGTTTCAAAACTAAGATATAAACTTTCATGTTGCCCTTTGAAGTCTCAGCTAACTTATCCTCTTCTGCCTATCTTTGGACTACACTTTTAAAGTGTGAAACTCAAACCAGTAAACATAAGAATATGCACTGGTGAGAGGGATTCTATCATCTTAGACGTGCAGTGGTGGCCTCTTTGCTGTAGGCAAGAACCAGAAGGGACAAATGCCATTGCAGGACTGGATACCCCTGCTAGTGTGGGGGATGATAAACCTTTATACATGGAGGCCAGGTATTGGCACTTCAATATCAGAAGCCAGGTACATACAATGATAGTAATGAGCATCATGGTTTATCTTAGCTCAGGCTACTATAGCAAATTGCCATGTATTGAGTGGTTTAGACAATAAACATTTATTTCTCCCAGTCCTAGAGGCTGTTAGAGATCAGTGTGCCAGCATCCCAAGGCAAAGGGCCCTGCAACTCTGGGACAAGGACTAATGATAGCAATTTTCCCATTCCTCCCCCTAGGGGACCTCTACCCATTTACTAGGTACCTGTGTTCTGGGGAAATGGAAATGCTCAAGCAATTTGATGACTTTTGATAAGTTGTCAATGATACCAGTTATCGGAAAAACATCACAGTCTTGTGTCTGAATGCAGGTCCAGCTGCCCACTATTTTAAAAACTAGTATTCAAGAGGCAGGTGCTGATGTAAAGTGGTTTTATTTAGGTGCCAGCAACCTGGAAGATGAGAGACTCTCATCTCAAAGCCCATCTCAGCATCTCAGGTGTCCTACCTAGTTTACATAGGGGAACTGTGGTAAGAAGGAACTAAGGAATTTCTGGTGAAGTGCAGTTTCTCAGTTCTGCTTTTGGGTGGTTACACTGTTACGGCCTATGTGCATCATCATGTAGTTTCACTGTTCTGTCCACCGGTTCACTGCCAATAAACGCTGGTTCTGATATGAGTCACTGACGCTTGCCCAGTTTCTTGTGGTCAGGGTCATTTTTTGGTTCAGCAGGAGCTGCAACTGCTGATGTCTATAAAATCCTTATAAGAAAACTTTAGTACATGAATCTTCTATGAGTTTGTTATACAGCCTATTCTATTACTATGATCTGATTAATAAATTATGTTTACTTCAATCATTGTCCAGTCTCTGTCAAAGTAGGGGTACAAGGGATTCAGATTATAAATGTCATTTTGTCCCAGGTAAAATTAACATGGATCTTGTATTTGTTTTCATATAAAAGTAAAGCACATCTGAAGACAGGAACCATTGCATACTTTTATGGATATTTCCTCATAGTATGCTTAGTTACAAAATGCGCTAAAAGCCGTCTTCTGGAAAAACAGAAGGTTGACACATGAAGGATTTTTTTTTTAGCAGTGAAAATTCTATCAACACTCCAAAGTTTGGAGGAAATAAATAGTTTGTTTTATAGACACCAGACTAAGGTCTCCAAGGTGATTTCAAGGCTGGCAGAACAACAGAAACTTGTCTTGTGACGTTGGGTGGCACAGTCTCTCCGCCTCTGTGAGGGTGTTAACACGTCACCACTGGAGATTTTGAACTACTCCATCCAGCTGTGACTTCATGTGTTCAGAGGAAAAATGAATATTTTTTAGGAGAGATACCACACTGTAATGCACAGGTAGCCACTAAATGGTAGGGTTTAATGAAAAAGCCAGCTTTTCTATAGAAATATCTGTTTTAATCCTTTAAAGACACCCTGAATTGATGACCTAAAAGAAGAAGGCTTCCGAAGTAGTAAATTTATTCACACATCTATTTGAACACTCAATAAGGAATACTTAGTTTCAATTATTTACATTTTTGCTAAATTCTCGTGCTCTACCTGCCATTGTTCTGTATTTTCTGAAGAGGAAAAGGTAAGGGCCTTGTCCTCATGCAGCTTATACTTGATAGAGACATTATAAAAGAAATAAAAATAAGTAATATTATTTAGGGAGTAATAAATGCTGCAAATAAATATTTCTTTTGTGGGTAGTGATTAAGGCTCAGAGTAGAAACCAATGGTCCTTTTCTAAATTAACTTCAATCTAATTCTAATTATGTGGAAATATAATTGCTTGTTTGTTGAGGAAATATTCATTATTGAATCTTAAGGATCAAAAATGATAATATTTGAGCATGGTAAAACCCAGGGTGCATGGTGATTGATAGGATAAATAAATAGATGAATAATAAGATAAATGAGTATAACATTTGTTTATGACTAGAGGGATACATATCTTTCTTATTACTCATAGACAAAAGAATAAAGACTATTGCAGAGAGTGTTGTGTTTTTGGGAACCACAGAACTAGAACACAGACAAGGTCCTAGGTAGAAAGAGCACATTACTAGGCTGATGCAAGGCTCTCGGTAGCTGGGTTAGGGGAAGCAGGTACCATGGGCAAGCTCCCTCACAGAGCAGGGCTTGAGCTTTATAGCTCTGTACTCCAGAGTCCCAAAACACAGTTAATCCAAAAATTCCTGACTTTGTTAATACTCAGAATGATTTTCTTATCTTAGGTTTGAGTGATTATCAGAAGTAAATAATCTTGTTAAAAATTATCTTTTTTGACATAAATTTTTCTCTGCCCCTTTTTTGAAAAAATTTCACTCCATGTTTCTTATCAAAAAGACATTTTGAGTCAAGTCCATTTCCATCTCACTATTTCAGATAAAAAACAAAAGGTAACTTTGTACATTAAAATTACTGCCTATCTTTGGGAGTTCCAAAATTTTAAACTGGAAACTATGTACCTTTTTAGCTCTTCATATCCTCTATAAGTGTAGAAAAAAACTCAAAGAGAGTTTGGATAAACCTGGAGAAAGAAGTAGTCTTCCTTGCAAGTGATTCTAACCAGGTTTTATACAAGTGACTCTGTGGAGCTTGACTTTACAGGGTCTGGTCATACATACTTTTATGGCAAAAAACGATGATGGTGAAGGTGTTGGTGATGGAAACAGAGCCAGGCCTGCACCTTGTAGTTGGTTTTGCAAAATATATTGCTGGACCTGCTGTGCTTGTTGATTTTATAAATTTCCACTCACTCATAAAATGCCTTCTGCCTCCATCTTCACTTGCCCGGGGCCATCCACATTTTGAAATAAACACCTGCAAGACATGGAAAGGGTCCTCAGGGAAAAATAATCCAGCCCACAACAGTGTTGATATATCTCAAAATTTGAGCTTCCAGAACTAGGTTGTGCGTTCAATCCTTGATAAGGGAGGATATACAGAAAGCAAATGATCAATGTTTTTCTCTCACATTGATATTTTCTCTCTGTCTGTTTCTGTCTTCCTCCATCTATTTCTGCAATCCAACCGATGATCTCCCTTCCTTCCAACTGATGCCAGCCCCACCTCTCTTTGCCCTTTTCCTGAGATACTTTTCTCTGTCTCTAACGCCAGTTTCTGGGGTGGATATATTGCTGGCCTTTGCCTGATTGGCTCTAAGATCATTTCGTTCCCTTTCCTGCTGCCCCCTATTGCAGTGGGAATGGCAGCCACAGCACTGTATTCCACCTCTCTGGTTCAGCTGGCTGCCTGCAGGGACTAGCTAATGAAGCAGGCACTGGGTGAAAAGCACGAGTGGGAGGAAATGACAATTTTGGGTTCCTCTACCTCTTTTGTGCCTCAAGTGGTATCTGGGAGGAAACTCATCTCCTGCACTGCTCCAACTTTAGAATATAGGTTCTGTTTGACATCAATATGTGCAACGAGGCCCAGTCTTTTGGGATTTTATATCATAGCTTTATGACTTGTCCCTCCAGCCTGAGATTGTTGCTTCTCCCAATCCAGTGGATTGAAGCCACTGGATTGCTTCATGAGCCCTGCTTCTGTCTCAGCTCCTCCATCAACTGTACAAATGCACTATGTTTTAACAAACTGAAGTGGCTTCTGTTTCCATGACTGCAACATGACTGATATATCAACGCTGGAAAGTTCTACTTAACAGCTCTTTTTTTGGAAGCGGAGTTTTCCACTCAGCAGTGTTATTCTCTGACTACAATTTTTATTCCACTTGTTCTTGCTGGACTGAATATGTCCACTCTTGGTCCAGTTGATTGTTCAAGAAAAATGTCCCTGAACAGAAGGTAATCATGTTGTCTCTAAAAAGTGATACTTTTATTTCTTCCTTCCAACTGTTCATACCTTTTACTTCCTTTTCTTATACTGTGTTAGGTAGGACTTACAGTACACCATTGAATAGAAATGGTGAGAAATGTTTTGCTTTGTTCTGGTCTTTTTTTTTTTTTTTGCCTTTTTTCCTTTTCTTTTTGTGTTGTTGTTCAAATGCAGTTATCTCCATTTCTCCCCACTCCTCCCCCTGCCCCGTGCATCTCCACCTCCCACCCTCGTTCCTATCCCCTTTTTTGGCTTTGTCCATGTATCCTTTATACATGTTCCTTGGTGGCCTTCCCCTGACCCTACGTTACCTCCTTCCCCCTCCCCTCTGGTTACTGTCAGTTTCCTCTTTATTTCAGTGTCTTTTGTTATATTTTGCTTGCTTGTTTGTTTTGTTGATTAGGTTCCACTTATAGGTGAGATCATATGGTATTTGTCTTTCACTGCCTGGCTTACTTCACTTAGCATAATGCTCTCTAGCTCCATCCTTGCTGTCACAAAGGGTAGGAGCACCTTCTTTCTTTCTGCTGCATAGTATTCCATTGTGTAAATGTACCATAGTTTTTGATCCATTCATCTACTGACAGACATTTAGGTTGCTTCCCGCACTTGGCTATTGTAAATTGTGCTGCTAGGAACATTGTGTGCATAGGTTCTTTGGAATTGGTGTTTCAGGATTTTTAGAGTATAATCTCAGCAATGGAATTTCCAGGTGAAAAGGCAGTTCCATTTTTAGTTTTCTGAGGAAATTCCACACTGTTTTCCACAGTGGCTGCAACCAGCCTGCATTTCCACCAAGAGTGTACTAGAGAGAACATATTTGCCAATGATACATCAGACAAAGGTTTAATCTCCAAAATACAAAACAAATTTGTATAACTCAACACCAGGAAGACAAACAATCCAGTTAAAAAATGGGCAACAGACCTGAAAAGACACTTTTCCAAGGAGGACATACAGATGGCCCATAGACACATAAAAAAATGCTCAGCATCACTAGCTATCAGAGAGATATAAATTAAAACCACCATGACATATCATTTCACACCTGACAAAATAAAAACCATTAATCAATCAACAAATAACAAGTGCTGGCAAAGATATAGAGAAAAAAGTTCTCTGTTGGTGGGAATGCAGACAGGTGCAGCCACTGTGGAAAACATTATAGAGTTTCCTCAAAAAACTAAACATGGTGCTGCCTTTTGACCCAGCAATTCCACTGCTGGGATTATACCCTAATATCCTGAAACACCAATTCAAAAGAAATTATTCACCCCTTTGTTCATAGCAGTGCTATTTACGATAGTCAAGTGTTGGAAACAGCTTAAGTGCCCATCCTTAAATGAATGGATTGAAAAACAGTGGTACATCTACACAAAGGAATACTACACAGCAGAAAGAAAGAATAAATTCCTATCTTTTGTGACAGTGTGGATGGAACTGAAGGTCTTTATGCTAAGTGAAATAGGCCAGTTGGTGAAAGGCAGATACCATATGATCTCACTTATAAGAGGATATAATGAACACAACAAACTAATAAGCAAAAAGACACCAGAGGCATAGAATCATGGAATAGACTGACAGTGGTAAGAGGGGAGGAAGGAAGAGGGGACTGTTTGAAAGAAGGTGAAGTGATTAGTCAAAGAACATAGATGAAGGACCCATGGAAACTGACTACAGTGTGGGGAGTGGGAGGTGGGTGGGTGGAGAAAGGTCGAAGATGGAAAATGACACAACTGTAATAGCATAAACAATGAAACAAAAAAAAAATAAACTCATAAAAATTCTCTTAAAAAACAAACAAAAAATCCCACCCCAAATAAATAGGATATGTATATATGTAGAAGTAAATTTATTTAAAAGAATTGGCTCACATAATTACCGAGCTTATCAAGTTCAAAACTGACAAGATGGACCAGCAGGCCCAGGAGAGTTGATGTTCCAGTTTTAGTCTGAAGGCCAAGGTTGCAGGTGAAGTTCGAAGTCTACTGGAGACTTTAGTA